TATCCTTCTCCCTCATAATTGTCCCTCTTAATATCCTTCTCCCTCATGTCCCTCTTAATATCCTTCTCCCTCATAATTATGTCCCTCTTAATATCCTTCTCCCTCATAATATGTCCCTCTTAATATCCTTCTCCCTCACAATAATGTCCCTCTTAATGTCCTTCTCCCTCACAATTATGTCCCTCTTAAATGTCCTTCTCCCTCATAATTGTGTCCCTCTTAATGTCCTTCTCCCTCACAATTATGTCCCTCTTAATATCCTTCTCCCTCACAATTATGTCCCTACATTAATATCCTTCTCCCTCACAAGTTATGTCCCTCTTAATGTCCTTTCTCCCTCATAATTATGTCCCTCTTAATATCCTTCTCCCTCACAATTATGTCCCTCTTAATGTCCTTCTCCCTCATAATTATTCCCTCTTAATCCTTCTCCCTCATATAATGTCCCTCTTAATATACTTCTCCCTCATAATTATGTCCCCTCTTAATATCCTTCTCCCTCACAATAATGTCCCTCTTAATATCCTTCTCCCTCACAATTATGTCCCTCCGAATGTCCTTCTCCCTCCTCACTGTCTTCCAGTCCCACCTCCCTGGCCAGGGCCTGAGGTCCCTCTGGCTCCCTCCCGGACCCCCAGCCTCTCTTCCCTCCCCTTCCCGCCTCCCGGGGCAGGGAGTTCCCCAGGCTTCCCCCGAGAGGAGACCCACCAGGCGAAGGCGAGGCCGGAAGGGACGTCAGAGGGGAGGAGGAGGAGGAGGAGCGGCCCGCCTTCCTTTCCTGTCCTCTCTAGGAAGCCAGCTCGGCGCCCCTTAACCCTTCTCTCTCCCGGCGGAGGAGCCCGGGCGTCGCGCAGGCGCAGAGCTGCTCCATCCGGGGGGGGGGGCGGGGGGCAAGGAAGAAGCAGGACCCAGAACCCGGGACTGGGCGCGTGTGCGTGTGAAGGGGGAACCCGTGTCCGGGAGGAGGAGCTCGTCTCTCTGCCTGGGGCTGCGAAGGGGCGTCTGGGCGGGGGAGAGGGGGGTCTTGGGGGGCCAGATGGGGACCCGGGGGTGTCTCTTCTCCGGGGGGGGGCGAGTCTCTCTTGGGGGCCCCTGGGGGGGCTGGGGGTCAGAGAGCCCTGTCCCAGCAAGAGGGGGTCCTGGGGGGGCTGAGGGCTGGAGGGGGGAGACATTGCCAGACATGGCTGGGGGGGGCCATTCTGTGTTGTCCCACCTGCTGCTTTGTGTCTGGATTTCAGCCATAAATGTATGTTCTTGGTGAAGTCGCCTTGGAAGCAAGACCGGAGCAGCCAGGGGGTTTTCCTAGGAAGCCTTTTATTCCCCCTCTGGTGACATTGTTCTAAGTTTCAGCAAGATAAGTCTGGATAGAATTATGAACTTTGTTTGGACTGATTTGGACATTAACGCAGTAGCAAGAAGATGATTATAATCCCCCTTCGGATCTTGAAATATGGGTTCCCTCAACAAAATTTAAAATTCGGCTTTGTAATTCGGAATTTATGTGATGTGATTTGATTGGATGTGATTGGCTGGTTAATAAAAAATATATTTTGTAAAAAAGACATTGTTATAGGTTTGCAGGTGCCAAACACCCCAAAATTCAGGCGCATCTTTGGGGGCTTCTACGCAGTGCCCTCTAGTCTAGTTGCAGCAGGAAGTGATCTGACCACAGCACTTCTTATGTTTTAGCATGTGTTGTTTTGTGTCTATATCTCAGCAATAAATATCAAATGTTCCATGAGCATATAAGCCATGAACTAAATAAATAAGCGTCCGCTGTATATCAAGCAGCAGGAAAAGACCACACAAAAAGCAATAACGTTGGTCCACAGAGTAAGTTTTATTCAAACCCAGAATAGAAAAAAGCAGCAGTAAGTACAGTGTCTCAAAGATGTAGCGTAACATCTTTACCTTAAAAAAAGTAATTAAACGTAACAATCGGCAAAGAGGCAGTTAAATGGAATTTTTCAGTGGCAAGGGGGACAAGGAAGCCCATCACAGCAGGCCTGCGGTGTTAACAATATGGACAAGAGATTTCTATACATCTCAAGAGCAACAAGAATGTATTCCTTCCCCCCCTTTGCTTGAGAAGTAAAACTCTGCAAGGGTTTGGCTCCAGGGTCCCTTGAGAGAGAGTTGGTTCTGACTCTCTGAGCAAAGAGGAAGGAAAAGGGGGTCCTGCAAGGAGAGGATGAGGGGAAGGCCCCCTTTTCTAGGGGTGGGGGAGAGGGATTGGGCTCCCAGGTCAAGAGAGCACCCTGGATCCTGGCACTGAAAAGAGCTCCCCCCTTTGTGCCAAAAGTTAGTTCCAACTTGGAAACCACCTGAAACGCCCCCTAGTCCAGACCTCACCAGGGAACATTTTAGCTGCACTTCCTGCATTGCAGGGGGCGGGTCTAGATGACCCTTGGGGTCCCTTCAACTCGAGGATCTCAGACTCAGAAGAGCCACAGAAACACACAGGCCCGATATCAGGGGTGGGGGGCTGGTCTAGGAGGCCTTGCCAGGCCGGGGGGCAGAGCACAATGGCTTCAGCCGGCCCTCCAGAACCAGCCCCCTCAATGGGCTTTGGACTACAACTCCCAACCGGGCCTGCCAGCAGAAGGCAGGGGGATTGAAACAGCCGTCCAAAAGGTCCGGCCAGCTCCAGAGGCGACCCAAGGCTGCTCTCCAACGGGGCGCTGCTCCAGGCATCTGAGTTGCCCAGTTCAAGGGAGCTGGCGGGACTAAGAACTGGGGTTCCTGAATTGCAGGGGTTGGACTAGATGAGCCTGGAGTGTCCTCTTCTAGGATTCCTCTTCTGGCTCCCAATGCCAGGTC